GATAACGAACCCCCCGTTCTTTCTCCCCCTCCCCCTTTATTGTGAATATCGCGATACACGCACGGCCCTATCGCGACACACTGGGGGGGTGTTCGCTGTGTTTTTTGGGGGTGCAGGACCCCCGCCCCTCCCCCCACGGGTCGCGGTTTTGACTCAGCCCCGGGCGGGACTTTCCGGAGGTGGGGGAGGGGCAGCGGTTTCACTTCCTGCCCCGGGGTGGGGGAGGGGCGTGCGGGTTGAGGGAGGGGAAAATGGCGGGGGGGGACCGAGGGGTTGGGGATCCTCTGCCCCCCGAGGGTGCAACGACCCCCAGAACGGGTTGGGGGGAGGGGCGAGGGCTCTAAAGGTGCCCCTCCCCCCCCTTAAATTAAAGGACCGCCCCTCCCCCCCTCCCCCCGGCGAGAACTTCCCCGGGAAGTGGTCACAGCCGCCGCCCCTCCCCCATGTTTTGGGGCCCATGGAGCTGATCCCCGCCCCTCCCCCATCCCTGGGAACCCTTAGGGGTTGATCTCCCCCCACCGAGCACCTTCTGCACCCCCAAAATCCCATCCCCCCCTCCCTTCTGGGGGGTGCTGTTCCTCCCAGCGCCTTCAGGCGGCGCTGCAGCTTTCCCGGGTGGGGGTCGTGTTACTGTGACCTTTGAAGGGGCTAAAATTAGAGTCAGAAACGGGGGGGGGACACCCAAAACCATCCTCAAATGGGCCATGGTTGTGTGTCCAGAGGGAAGGAGGAGGAAAAGGAGGGGATCGTAAATCCCTGGAGGGGTTTTGTGGGGAGCACAGGGTGAGAGGTGCCCGAACAACCCCCCCGCCCCCCATTTTTGGGTGTTGTGGGTGTTGAGCAGAGGTGTCCGGGCTCTGATGTGGCACCATGAGGGGTTGTCCCCTCCCCCTGTGGGCTCTGGGTCCCCGTGACCCCAATCCCACCCCCCAGCTCTGTCCGTGTTTGGGGTGATCCCGGATTMATTCCCTGGATGGTGCAGGTGGATCCGTTCACACCCAGGGGGGGATGGTGCAGGGAGGGGGAACAGGCAGAAAAGAAGCTCAGGGGTGGGGTGGGATACACCAGGAGTGTTGGGGACAGTCCCCTCCTCGTCCCCAGGATGGTTCCATGCAGCTTTTCCACCAGGCCCCGGAGCTCCGGGATGGAGACCAGAGCTCGGAGCTCGGGAAAGGGTGAAAGTGGGCACAGCCACAACCCCTAAAACCATTCAGGGACTCSCAAGACCCCAACGATGTCACCCAAAACCTGAGAGAGCCAACAGTCCCTCCCATGACCCCCTCAAAGGTTCAACTGGACCCGTCAAGATCCTAAAACAACCCCAAGATCCCGGTGTCACCAAGATCCCGGTGTCACTGAGTCCAGGCAGTGAGATCCTGGTGTCACCGAGTCCAGGTGACATAGATCCCGG